CTTACAAGAGGTACAAAGATCCCCCCACCACCCCACCTTCAAAGTGAAAAATGTATCCTCTTAGTATCCATTTATTGAGTGGAACCTCTGGGAGGTAAGATATGAGTAATTAGAAGGGGTTTCAACAAGCTGATCTTAATTTCTTTTTAACAAGTGAACACTGGAAACATGACTGTGGCTTTGGTATTCTACAATAGGACACTACTTGGGAGCTGTGAAGAAGGTTATGGGGAGAATGATTTATTTGGTAAGAAAAAAGTGGGACACAAGAGGGGATACTAGGATTTTTAGGACTAGGTTGCAATAAAATCCCATGTGTGTAATTATTAATCATTGATCTCCCCCTTTTCCCCATTTTCTTTAACATTCATTTATTCTTTGATTTTATTCATTTTTTTAGATTTAATTTTAGGTGATAAACAATATTTTCTACTACTGTCATTACTACTCTTATTACTAGCAAATGTGTATTGAATGCTGAGTATGTCAGTCCCTATTTTAAGTGTTTCACATATTTTATACAATCCTTACAATAACCTGATGAAAAAGGTATTGTTATTATATGCAATGCACAGCTGAAGAAACTGTGGCTTAGATGTTAAGTAACTTGCCTAAGATCACCCAGCTATTAAATGGTCATAGTTAATGGTAGTATTTAAATTGACACTATTTGAACCCAGATAGTATTACAGCAGAACAAACAACCGCATTGACTATTAAACATCTTACTTGATGAGTGACTATTGAGGATAATTTTTTTTTTCAATGTTTATTTTGGAGAGAGAGCAAGTGAGCATGCAAGCAGGTGAGGGGAGGATGGGCAGAGAGACAGACAGAGGATCTGAGGGAGGCTCTTCGCTGTCAGTGCAGAGCTCCATGAGGGGTTCCAACCCACAAAGGATAATATCATGACCTGAGCTGAAGTCAGATGCTTAACTGACAGAGCCACGTAGGCACCCCATTTGGAATGATTTTTTAAATGAGTGCATATTTAAACATTTTAATTCATACTTTTTATTTTTAATTTTCAAAGTTACTCTCAAGTAAACTTTTATGGATTCCACCTATTCATTGCCTTGTCACCAAAAAGCCACATCCTAATTCTTGCCCCCAAACCAAAAATCTAAAAAGCATTATTATATGTAAGGTATTTTGTTAGCCCATACTGATAATAAAATTAAGAAAGAGATCTTCCTCTGTTGAGTAGGGAATTAAGACATGTTCAACAAATAACTTTGAAGTCAATGTGTTTAACAAGAAATATAGATTAAAAAATTACAGGAATTTACAAGGAAGTAGCATTTAGGTTGAAAATTAACAGTGGCTAGAAATTTGACATGAAAAGAAAAAGAGTTCACTCGGTTACATGTGGAGGAGGCACAGTCACAGAGAATGGGAGCATATTTATAGAGCTGCATTAAATTCATCTGATTGGAATATGGGGAGTGTTGGTAGTGTTCTTGAGCTGGATGGACTCCTACAGGCTAGGTAGAATCAAATGTTAAATAGTAAGGAGTTTTTGTGAGCTGGTTTTAAATCTTGGGTAGCTTGAAGTTGATCATGGTGGGAATATTAAAACCACAAAAACTGGCAAATACTAGAAATTATGGATTTCTTAAACTCTTGAGAGGTGGCTTTCCATTTCACCGGTTGTGTTAGGAGATTAAAGAGATTGGAAAGGTTGATGGGATCAATGTTTGCATGGCCAAAAATTCTAGCCCCAGGTATATATGCATTATTCAGTAAGCAAGGGTGGTTATGGAAGGTCATTTAGCAAGACATCAAAGTGACTAGTGAGGAGAACGGTTATACTTACACGTGACTCATTGCCTCCTAGTATCTCAGGTGTGAACGACACGTTAAGGGTCCAAATACTCCTCTAATGTTAAAGTTGTCACTCTGCTTTCACTTTCCCTGAATTCTCCGAGCTCTCCAATTAACCAGGTGATGGGTGTTCAAAATATTTCAGTAACTCAATGTATATGTATTTTCTTGGCATATGGGTATTGTATTTAGGCTAGTAAAAAACAGTTTAAGCACTAATGTTAAACTAATTCTAAGCACCGAGCTACAACTATCCTCCTAATGTTGGTGCCATCACTATGAATGTAGAGGACTCAAAAGGACAAAACAGACTCATCTCAGATGTAAAGAAGAATGGGATCTGTCGTGGTTAGGCTCTTCTGAAAAACTAAATGCAAGATAACCTCAACCTTCAAAATGGATGTTCAGATTATTCACATTTAAATATAATTACTATAGGCCTCCCTGGTGTGATTAAGATGTGATTTAAAATACTACTTAAAATGTGGACAAAGGCTGTTAAGACAAACATTCTGATGTTTTCAGGTACACCTGCCCTGAAAACTCATTACCCTTTTTCCACTCCATGGTTTCTTACAATTAAAAGATTAATTGTAAGGAAGGCTTGCCTTCCTGAGTACCTGTGGGGATCAAATAACATATGAACTCTTTAAGATATCTACAAATTCTAGTTACTGTTAACTAATAAAGTAAATTAGTTGGTAGATCCCATTCTAGAAGCATTCTGGGTAAATGGTATTTGATTCTACTCACCTTTTTGTCTCTGTTTTCTATTAAGATCTTCCTGTATTATGATATTTCCAAAAAAAACCCTAGCCATTAGTTTTGGAATTATACATAACTTCTTATGCTATATTCTGTGCTCCTCTATTTCTGATTGTTGTAGTCAGAGTTTGTTGTTTCATGCACTACGTAAATTTATAGGACTAGGTGAGGAAAAGAAAGTTAAGAAATCAGGTGAGTGTAAAGAGATGTACAGATGAGGAGACAGAAATAGGAGAGGACTGCTAATAAGTATTTCCTCCAGAAGGTAGTAAATATATTCAACATACCTGCATATGTCAGGTACTAGATTAGTCACAAATAAGGAGAGAAATACCCTAGGTTTAGCTTGAGGGACCACTTGTCTGTTCTATGAGAAGATGGAATCTTCTTAAAAGCAACATTAGGGTGGATATGTTAAAGCCACTGATGGAGATTGTCCAAGGTTTAGGAGTTGTTAAGACACCATGTTGTAAGGCCGATGATACGAATTAAAATTCTGTCAGGCTTGACCACAGACTTTGGTCACAACCTTGGGAAGCTGCCTTGCAAGTATATTTTATTGTTATGGACGACAGGCTAAGATAGGGC